GTGAGAGAGAGGGAGAGAGAGAGAGAGAGAACACACAGAGAGAGAGAATGTTGAAGAACACAGTTCACCCCACCTTGCTCGCCCACTTGGTCCCTCACCCACTGGGCCGCTGCCTTGATGTTCTCCGACTTGGTGACATCTAGGAGGAAAACCTGTAGCTGGTAGGAGGTCTCCTGCAGGAGTCTCTGAGCCCCCTCTTCAGTGAGGCAGGCAGCGAGCACTTTCATGCCCCTATCAACCAACTGTTTGGCCAACAGGTTCCCAAAGCCGGAGTCACAGCCGGTGATGAAGACATACTTCTCAGAGAGGTTTTTAACTAGATTGCAATTTTTGAACCAGCGGTACATAAAAGCAAAGTCTGTGAGGGCTGCCATTGGAGCTGACGTCCGAGGATGGGCCCAGGGGATGGTAGGATAGGCTGATCCTCAGAGCCCAGCAGGCAACCCGCCCGGAACCCACAGGAAAGGAGAGCTTCTGAGACTTGCAACAGATACAGGCATCTGGGTGAACCTCTCTGTAATTTTATAGGTGGCTGCATTGCCACAGCAATTAGCTCAGATGCAAGAAATTCAAGTCCAACCTGCAGTGTGTCACTCTGACAAAGCCACTGCCCTGGCCTCCCCATCTCTCCACTACACCTTTCAGGGAGGGATTCAAAAATGGGGAGACTCATAGTCGTGGGAACTCAAGTGCATTCTGGGAAGGGGCACAGGAGATAAAGAAGGGCTCAGATCTGATCCGAGGCCTTGTAAGAAAACCCCACCCCAGTTTTACCTCCTGCCTAGGGATCAAAACCATCTGCCATGCATTCAGGCATGTCAACAAATTTAATTTTTATTATCTGAAAAAAAAGACAAAATCATTAATACAAAGCAAACGAAAGCTGAATTTGAGTACTGAGTCCCAGTACAAATGAACACCAGCTTGTCAGCCCTTAGGGATCTTTAATTAATTTATTTAGTTTAGTTGTTGAGACAGTCTCGTTAACAGCCCTGGCTGCCTTAGCCTGAACTTGCCATGTTGACTTAAAATGGGTGACAGTCCTCCTGCCTCTACCAGGCGCTTGGATTTCAGGCAGGTGCCACTATGACCATGTTCTCTGGAGATGGTAAGTGAGTCTCCATCATGAGGGATGATAAAAAAACAACATAGGGTTTTCCCAGGCTGGGTGTGAATCCACTGTGCTGACTCCAGGAGTCTAGAGGAGGCTGGAGGTATGAGTTTCAACTTCTAAAATGTAGAAGACTCCAACAGCTGGGTGTGGTTCCTCACATTTGCTTCAGCTGGCTTGGGAGGTAGAAATGGGAGGATCCAGAGTTCAAAGGTCATCCTCAGCTACATATCTAGCCAGAGGCCAATCTGGGCTATACGAGATCCTGTCTCAAATAAACAAAACACCCCAAACCAACCAGAACCTTGGTGGTAGTAGGGTGGGTGATATTCAAGTTACCGGCAAGGAACCTCCACAGTGGAAACCAACCCAGTATTCCACCCATCCTACCCGATGTTGACCTGGCCATTGTAAGGGCCCAGTACTAAGGGCTCATCAGCTCCCTGAGGAAAGGGCTCTGGGGGAAGGTTCCTTTCCTTCTATCTCAAGGACCAGGCACGTTTCATGTGGTTCAATGAGCTGGAGAGACTGAAGGCAGGGAAGGTAGACAGAGCAAGGGAGGGAGTAACACGCCATGTGAGATGATTCGCAGGGAGACCGAGGCCAAGGCTTGGAAAGCGTCAGAGACAGCACTTACGGAGAGTGATTCCAAATGATAGAGACTTTGTAGAAAGTTAGGTGGGATGCTGCTGAAGCAAATGAAAGAAGGAAATCAGCTGGGTGTGAGTCCCTAGGGGCCACACCTAGCATTGCATAAATCCTAGGAACCTGGTAATACTGCAAGCTTTCTTGGCTTGACATCCGGGACTGTCAGGATGAGAACGTTCACTAGCTGACCTTGTCCTTGTTTAGAGGGTCTGATACAGAAACCGAGTACAAAAGTTCCCTAAGGAGGGGGAAAAGTGGGTGTGTCTTTACTATTTACCAATGAAGGCAGATAAAGAGAGGATCACACCAACCATGGGTGAGAATAACTACTATAATTTTTGAGCCAAATTTTAAGCACATTTTATTAAATACCGGCCAGGACGATGACAATGCCTAGGTTGACACCTGTGGTTCTCGGAGAATGGCCATGAATTTTCTTAGCTGCTTATAAAGGCAAATCCACAAGACTACATACTTCCCACCTTTGTCCAGTTGGGGGCAAGCATACATCCGGACATACCTCCCACCTACGTGGGATGAAAAACATCTTGTGCAGCTGGGGCAATCAATCTTGTTCACAGAAGTGAGAAGTGGCTTGTTGTCTTACATGAGCAACAGACCCCAACACTTCAGGAAGTTCTCTGTCCTTGGGCAAGTGAGGCTTACAGGTTAGAGGTGCTTTTCTTTTATAGATCTCTTGAGCACAGTAATTTAAACTTAAAAAATAACTTTAGTCTTCACACAACAGGGTGGGTTATTCTGTACCAAAGGTATGGGTGGGAAATAAACTCATCAACCCATCTCTGAAGGGCAGACCCTAAGCTCATGGGTGATGGAGGTGGGCAGTGGTAGGTGACAAACCTACGTGCTTCATATTTTTCTTGAGGCCGTGGCATATCATGTGCAGGTCTGACCATCATCCCACTATCTCTGTTGGCCTCCTGGGTAAGTCAGTGATCAAGGACCTCATGCCTGGGAGAAGGCAATGTTCCTTAAGTGCTGAGCAAGCTGAGGGGCAGCGGGCTCTCAACCTCTCCGTGTCTGCCACAGGGTTTTCCTGAGATAGTAATCTTTTTTTTTTTTTGGCTTTTCGAGACAGGGTTTCTCTGTGTAGCGTTGGCTGTCCTGGAACTCACTCTGTAGACCAGGCTGGCCTCGAACTCAGAAATCCGCCTGCCTCTGCCTCCCAAGTGCTGGGATTAAAGGCGTGCGCCACCACTGCCCGGCTCTGAGATAGTAATCTTGATCCTGGGGAATATGAGGAATACAAACTGTTCTACAGATGAGGAATTGTATATGTGTGTGTGTATGTGTGTGTGTGTGTGTATACATACACACACATATACACATATAGGCCTACTCCATACACACACATACATACATACATACATACATACATACACTCTCTATCTATATATAGTATATACACATACACTATATATATATATACATATAAATATATACATATAAACATATACATATACACATATACACATATAGACCTACTCCATACATATATATGTGTGTGTGTATGTGTGTGTATACACATACACAACATACACATATACACGTATAGGCCTACTCCAGGTCAGTTCTTGGGGACACAGGTATGTCTGAGGCACCTGGCCCCAGAACAGAATAATTCAGAGCTGACCTGGAGTAGGCCTACCCTAGATCCAGTCACCTTTTAGACCTCTCTACTGACTGAGGCCTGAGATTTCCGGTAGCTGTATGCTTTCTCAAGCTCACTCAGTGTCCACAAGAATCTTCAGATGTAAACTGGCCTCATTTCCATCCTGTGAGAAGGTAAGGACTGGCCACACAGAAACATACCCTAAGGAGGTAGGAGGGAGACAGAACATGGTAAACTGAGTCTAGTTCCTTTGCCCCTGCTTATGCCCCAAAAAGCAAAGTACTCAGGGGCAGGTTAAGGACGGTGCCTAAGAGCCTAGAACGGTGGCTTACTATGCACACACACACACACACACACACACACACGTATTTTTATATACACATGTGTGTGTATATATATGTATGTATGTACACACACACACACACACACACACACACACACACAAATTCCTCATCTGAAAAACATAGTTTGTATTCCTTGTATTCCTCAGGATGGAGATTAATATCTCAGGACTATCCTGGGGCAGACATGGATAGGTAGAGAGCCCGCATGATCCTGGAAGGCTGCTTTTACCTCTCTGTTCCCCACCCACATATTACCTATTACAGTAACCCAACAGAGTGGATACAAGAGAATGTCTTAAAATGTTATTTTATTATTATTTTTAATTAATCATTCCATTCATTTACATCTCAAAAATATCCCACTTCCTGGTTACCTCCTCTACTAACCCCCCTTCCCATGATATCCCACTTCCTGGTTACCCCTCCATGAACCCCCATGCCACATCTGCCCTCCCCCCTCCCTTTTGTCTGTATGAGAGTGCTCCCCCACCCACCCACATTCTCTTGCCCCACCACTCCAGGAAGAACAGGGACAAAAAATGGAACAGAGACTGAAGGAAGGGCCAACCGGGAACTGCCCCACCTGGGGATACATCATGTCTGCAGACACCAAACCCAACACTGTTGCCGTGGTCAAAAGGCACTCGTGGACAGGAACCAAGTGTGGCAGTTCCTGGGGAGGTCTGGCCAGCAGCTGACCAATGCTGATGCGGATGCTTGGAGTCTTAAAATGTTTTAATTTAGACTAATAAAATAAAAATTAAAAAAACTCAGAGGTAAGTCTTAGACAAAATAGTGGTCCAAATTGGATATACCCGAGCATTTTTCAGAAGCGACCATGGCCACGAGGTATAAGAGACACCTAAACACCCACATTTTGTGTATGCAAGCAGAGCCGGAAGGATGGACTGTGGTAATGACAAAGATGACAATGAGGGCTCTGGACAGAGATCTCTTCCCACTGTGTGCTGCTCAGTCACAAATCCCAGAAATGTCTCCCAGAGATTCCTCGGCTTCCGGGCTGACTCTGTCCCCAGCATCCTGGAAGGTTCCCACATGGTTCACTGTGTTGGTTATGTCCTTTTTGAAGAAGCCAGTCTCCATTTCATCCAGATTTTCCAGTTTTGTTGAGTATAGGCCTTTGTAGTAAGATCTGATGATTTTTTGAATTTCCTCAGTTTCTGTTATGTTTTCAGTTCTGATTTTTATTAATTTGGATACTGTCTCTGTGCCCTCTGGTTAGTCTGGCTAAGGGTTTATCTATCTTGTTGACTTTCTCAAAGAACCAGCTCCTGGTTTTGTTGATATTTTGTATAGTTCTTTCTGTTTCTACTTGGTTGATTTCAGTCCTGAGTTTGATTATTTCCTGCCATCTACTCCTCTTTTGTGTGTTTGCTTCTTTTTGTTCTAGAGCTTTCAGGTGTGCTGTCAAGTTGTTAGTGTATGCTCTCTCCAGTTTTTTTTTTGTAGGCACTTAGAGCTATGAATTTTCCTCTTAGCACTGCTTTCATGGAGTCCCACACGTTTTGGTAGGGTGTGTTCTCATTTTCAGTGAATTCTACAAAGTCTTTAATTTCTTTCTTTATTTCTTTTTGACCAAGTCATGATTGAGTAGAGCGTTGTTCAGTCTCCATGTGTATGTGGATTTTCCATTGTTTTTGTCATTGTTAAAGACCAGTCTTAATCTGTGATGATCTGATAGGATGCAAGGGATTATTTCAATCTTTTTGTATCTATTGAGGACTGTGT